TTCCTTTGGAGGTCTTTTAAAGACAGAAGGTTTGGAGGGTTACCCCAAACCCTCCCCATCTTCACATCACACTGCCCAAGTATCTGCAGGGAGCAAAGCACTGCACAGTGCCCCAACACCACCAGTGGCAGCCTTAGACCAGCACCATTAGGATGAGACTGGGGCCAGGCTTGCAGCCCAGGGTCCATACCCCCTCCTTGGAGGGATCCAGTACCTGAGCAGGCACCGGCTCCTCTGGCACAGGATCCTCCTTGGGCTGTGCAGGGGTCTCTATTGGGGGAGTTTTCTTCATTGACCTGGACAGGACAAGAACGTGAATCATTGCTGGGAAGAAGCCACATCTCTTGCCTGATTCTCCAGAGCCCCTTGCTGCTTGAGGAAGGGTCTAAACGACCCCTAAAATATCCCCATAGAGACTCTTAGAATCATTTAGGTTGGAGAAGACTTCTAAGGTCATCCAGTCCAACTGTAAACCTGATGCTGACAAGTCCACTGCTAAACCATGCCCCCAGGTGCCACATCATGTGACCTTTAAACACCTACAGGGAGGGTAACTCCACTGCTTCCCTGGGCAGCCTGTTCCAGTGTTTGACAAGCCTTTTGGTGAGGAAATCTTTCCTAGTATCCAAACTAAACCTCTCCTGGCACAACTTGGGGCTAGTTTACCTATTGTTTGCCCTCCCCATCTGTCTCACAATCTCCCCTGCCCAAAGGGAGTCCCCACCACGGCTTGTTCTTCCCCATGGGAGAGGTTTGCAGGCACTAGTCCTGCAGCATCGCCCGGTCCCAGCCCCCATCTCCACTGGCTACTCACTTTTTCAGGTTGATCTCATTGTTCTTGGCCACCCCCAGAGCAGCATGGGCTCTCTGTGCCTTGTTTGGTGCCACTTTCACAGCCTCCTTCTTCCCTGCCACCACCTGGTTCTTGTGAGCCTGTTTAGGTCAGAACAGGGGCATGCAGAGGGGTGCCCTGCAGGGACATCTCTCCTCCCACAGATGGGACATGGGACACCCCCCACTCTGTGCTGGAGGGAGTATCCAGCCCCACTCCAGTGTGGGGCTCACAGCGGGTACCAAAGCAGAAGCACTTACATTGGTGATGTCCCCGAATGCCGACCTCTTCTTGGGTGCGCCCTGGGGTGAGGATGGAGACCTCTTGGCCTGACAGCTCTCCTCCTGCAATAGAATCTGTTTGAAATAGGGGCCTGCTGCCCCATAGGAGCCCCCCCCACCCCTCGCCTGGCTCAGGACTCACCTTTTCAGGGTTGGCATTCTCTGCAGCAGGGCCCATCTTGCCTGCTCGGGGCTGCTTGGTGGTCACCATCTTGGCATTGCGTGGCAACGGCATTGCCTCCCTCAGTCTCTACAAACAAGCTGGGAGCAGAGCAGGGCTTGATGAAGGTGACTGCTCAGGGACACCCTCACAGGCCACA